ACCACATCCAGTCTACAATAACTGGAGCGCACCACATCCAGTCTACAATAACTGGAGCGTACCACATCCAGTCTACAATAACTGGAGCGCACCACATCCAGTCTACAATAACTGGAGCATACCACACCCAGTCTACAATATCTGGAATGTGAAAACACCACATCCTGTCTAAAATATCTGGAGTATGAAAACACCACATCCAGTCTTCAATAACTGGAGCGCACCACATCCAGTCTACAATAGCTGGAGTGCACCACATCCAGTCTACAATAACATGAGCGCACCATATCCAGTCTTCAATATCTGGAGTGCACCACATCCAGTCCACAATAACATGAGCGCACCACATCCAGTCTACAATATCTGGAGCGCACCACATCCAGTCTACAATATCTGGAGTGGACCACATCCAGTCTACAATAACTGGAGCGCACCACATCCAGTCTACAATAACATGAGCGCACCATATCCAGTCTACAATATCTGGAGTGCACCACATCCAGTCTACAATAACATGAGCGCACCACATCCAGTCTACAATATCTGGAGTGCACCACATCCAGACTACAGTAGGAGAGTAGGTGTAAACATCAGATTATTCTTTGAAGGTTTCAACATCTTTTTCTTCTAAGATATTTAGAGGAATCTGGCATATTTACAAAAAAGGATAACAATGAATCCCTCTTATCAAAAATATAAATACTAAGCACCAAAAGATATACATATTAAGCATTAAAATTCATTTTAATTAAAAAATACATTTAAAAAAAAAATCTGATTATTATTCTTAGAAGTGATATTGATAGAAGTGAAATTAGGCAATAATGAAGTTTCCTATCTACCAGCAGTTGTTGGAGACCAATCCAAAGCATATCCCTCTGTCTGGTGACCACTGAAGGAGAAGACAGGGGGAGGCGACTCTTCATTACGTGTGTACACAGCCATTATGTTGGAGTCATTGACAGCCTTGAGAGGGCGCGTCAGGTCCCAGATGTACACCTTGCCCACCTCCGACCAGGATGCTGCTAAGGACTTGTCACCAATATTGGTTGTCTGAAACCAAGGTAAGATCAATCAAATTTTGCGAAAAACCAGGACACATAAAGACTAACCAATGAAAGTGTACATATGTAAACATTCTGAATCTCTAAAAAAAACCAAGGGGCCCAGAGGGCATGTATTGCTCACCTGGATATCGAAGCAATCATGGCAAAATATTCTCCAAATGAGATCCAAGGGAATAGGCCAGACCTCAAGGCCAATCCTAGTAGCAATCTGTATTAGAGTTTATGTATGGTTATGGGGTGGGGATCTCAACTGTTTCCAAGCTGTGAATCAGAAACTAGGTCCCCAGGGTTGTGGCCAGACCCCAGGATCTATTCTAACATGATAACATCATGACTGCATTCATCTCTGTATGCCCAGCATTTGTATATATAGTTTTGGGGTGGGGATCATAACCATTTAAAAGTTATGACCAAGGGATTTAGTCTGCAAGGGTGGGACAGACCCTGGGGTCAATTCTAATATCATGACCGCATTCGTCTCTTTATGCCCAGCATTTGTATATATAGTTTTGGGGTGGGGATCATAACCATTTAAAAGTTATGACCCAGGGGTTAAGTCTCAAAGGGTGGGAAGACCCCAAGGCCATCCTTGAAGGGTATGTGCATTCATTTCTTTATATTCAGCAATTGCATATATGGTTTCAAAGATATAACCCAGAAACTAAGTTCCTAGGGTTGGGGAAAAACCACAGGGCCTATTTTTACATCATGATTGTGTTTATCTCTTCATGCCCAGCAATACTATATATGGGTATGGGGTGGGGATCTAAACTGTTTCAAAGATTCAACGATCCATAACATACAATATTGACCCCATCGACCCTAACACTTGACCCCAGGGCCATAAATTTCATAAATTCAAAAGAGTGCTAGTTGATGATTACAATGATTGCCATTACTCTCTGCTACTTGAAGGAGTAGAGAAGAAGATTTTTAAAGATTACCCCATTTGTTTTACCTATTTGGCCTGGCCCCTCAGGCCCCTGGGGGCGTAGCCCCATACATTTCGTAAATTCAGATCCCCATGTCCTAGTGATGTACCATGTCAAGTTTGGTCAAAATTGGCCCAGTGGTTTTGAAGAAGAAGATAAAAATGTAAAAAGTTGATGTACGACGGACGCGGGCCGTGGTATGCCATAAGGGGTCAGGTGAGCTAAAAACCCACCTATCCATCTAGGAAGCTGATAGATCTCATTCACGGATAATTTGCAGGGGAGGTATTTTTCAAATTTTTTGAAGTGATTAAGAAATAAAAATACACTGTGTTCACAAACAGAGAAAAATACTATGCTTATTAGGTTTTACATGTATTTATTAAACAGCAATGAATAAAACCTCAGATTCCAGTTGGAATCAAATAAGGGATCAGAAAAGATAACTGACTTAAGTTAATCATTTGATTTAATGTTCAAGTGTGAGATAAATAGCAAGGGCTTCTGCAGAGAATATTCGGTAGACGGCATTCAATAGCAGCACCTTTTGCAACCATGCCTGCAGGCTGCAGCAACCTTGTGGTCGTCTTCCAAACCATAGTATTAAATGACTGAAAGTCCTAATATTTGAACTGCAGTTTCGAAAAAGATAAATTAAAGGTCATAGGTTCAGTATCAGTTTTGAATATCTCATAGAGTGAAAGATCGACCTCAGGCAAAATAAGTGCCATTGATGGTTAGAATATTGGAACAGAATTAATCCAATCTGTCCCTAAAACACTAGCTATACATACATGTATTTAGCTTTATAGTCTGACTTAATTAGTGATAGCTGGATTAACTAGGCTCTACTGTTTATCTCATTATATTTATTTTAACATCAAAGTAATAACTGAATTGCAAGGACAAGTGATGCAGATTTCATGATAAAACCTACCCTTATTCTATTGACACACCCCGTGTGTTTGATTAATGCTGTCTCTAATTCAGGTTTGTTTTCATCATCATCGTCATCATCTTCATCACTTTCCTCATCACTTTTTTCTTCTTCATTGTCAGGTTTTTGTTCCTTTGATGTACGATGCAGGTTGCTCATTTTCATGACAATAACATGATTAGTGTGTCCTCTCTCTCCCTGGGTCCCACTAACAGTATAGCAGGTCAGCGGGAAGCTTTCCCTCTTGTCCCCAAGGGAGTCATGTAAAATGTCAAAGCTAAGGCAGGGAGCTCCTTTTTATAAAACAAAAGAATAATTGATTTATTCCATTATAAGTTAAATTTAATTTTACATGTTATGTCTTCATTTTTTTTTGTCTTCTGTCTAAATGAGCGATTGACTGTTGTCGTGGGTCAATCTAGACTTGATGCACTTTCATTTATAGGTAGTTTCCCTATCAGAAGAAAATTTTCGTTCTTTGAAATTCCCCCATGTGCTTTAAAATTCACCTATTTCAACAAGAAAATGTATTTCTTTTAAAATATTTCCCCTATGATTTTTCTTTAAAGTCTAACATAACAGTTTAAAATACATAATACTGCATATATTCATTTTCTTCAGATAATTATAAAAAAAATCTAGTTTAAGCTTAAAATTGTTCATAAATTGTAATACACTGTACACATGAAAAATCTTGTATCTTTAATCTCGACGCTAAAGCCTTATATATACCAAAATTGCAATTTCCCCCAAATCTGAAAAAAGAGTAGATTGCCCTAAATCCTAGATTGATTCCTGGTTGTATTAATATTCTCTTGTTCAGAACTCTGAACTATGTTTCATTGGTGATGGGGTATTACTGTTTACTTAGATTTCTGCTCACAGTACTGACAAAGATTTTTTTAATTCATAATCCCCAAGAGCGATATATCCAGATCCTACTAAATGAAGGCTACATGTATCTGAAGTGAAAGAACTTGTGGTGAAAATAGACATGTGTAGAGTGAAATTCCTTTCCAACAGCCTAGCTTTTGGTATACATGATGTATTTTACAAATTTTATGCACTAATTATTCATCATTGTGGCCATTGGAATATATGTGTCATTTTGTTTCTAGGGAAATGGAGAATTATGTCCGCGAAAAAAGAGAGCACTTTACTTTTATGGAAGGTTTTGAAAGACAAAATTTACATCTTTCATGCCGAGTTATTATATACTGTTTGTACATCCACTAGAAAACTGTTTTTGATGGTGGGAATAGAAGTTAGGTGGGGTTGTTCTTCGTCTCACATCATTGGGGTGGCAATTTAACGGACTATGACAGTTGATCTAAACCCCTGAAACGTCTAATATTACTCTATACACATCGGAATAGGTCCAAACAAACCAGCTGATACCAAATATCGGGTCCCTGTGAAACATAATATAGGTGTATTACAGGTCCAGTACACTCTGCCGATTGAGCTATATAGCTATAAAGACCTTTATAGCTATATACACCTATAAATTATAGCTGTATTGAGCTTTATTTTCTCAGATTTCAATTTTCATCGAATTAAAGCAAAGTCGCATAAAACAATCAGGTTTATGGTAATGTTGACTACAAAAAACATACGGTTAGATGTTTATTTTCATATTTCATAAATGTAAAATTTCCGATTTTTTTACATCATTATTTTTTTAAAAGAATACTTATATTTAATGTCTTTTATTATCGACCTAATGATACAATCTTCTTTTAAAAGCGACTTTGTTTCGTTTTCCTTAAAAAAGAAAATCACTTGAAAATAGCTCAAAAGACCCATTTCAGATAGGTCAATAGAGCTATTATATGTCTTTACAGCTATATAGCTCAATCGGCAGAGTGTACTGGACCTGTATTGTGACGTAAAGTGTAAGACCACAGGCACCTGGTGAGACTGTCAAATTAATTGTTCTAGCCTAAGTTAAAACGTTTCCTCGATTTAAGCTATTCTTTCCCTTAAGGAAAAGTTAAGCTTAGACAACAATGACTTTAATGTTTCGTTATACCGTAGCCTAATACTGTGGGGGTCAAATGACAATACAAAACTGACAACTTGAAACAAGAGGATGGAGCACCTGTCTGTGCTTGGTGGTACATGACATATGCAGATTCATCACAGACTAATTTTTCGCCCTCTTTCAATGTTTCGCCAGGTAAATAAACTTGGCTTTCTTCTGTTTGTTCTTCCATTATGTCCTCATCATCGCTATCATCGCTCATAACATCCATTTCTTCTCCCGAATCATCCGACATTTCTTGTTTATCATCAGCCATGTTGAAAATGAACCCACGTGTTTCCAACCTCGTTTTTGAAATTGACCCCGAGTGAGGTCAATCTTGACCAATCGGATCTCTCGATTCTTTTCTTGGCCTTCGATACATACAAACAACATGGCCGAACAAGTCTGGAACGAGAGGTAAAATATTGTACTTTTGTTCTTATTTATTTTTAACGGGTACTTATTGTAGCGCTCTTCCTAATACAAATGATATGTCTATTCTAATGGATGGTATATTTGCAGTATTTATAAACGGGAATGTAATGTTGCCCGGAAGTTTGTCGAATCGATATAACACACACATTATTATTGTTGACACTGACTGAATCGAACAAATGATATCGACAGTGGCACTGTTGTTTTAAAGTGCCACTTAAAAATCGATAGAGTGCTGTATGATTAATAAGTAAACACTTTGAAAATCAAATTATAATTTACTTTACTCAAGTAATTGCATGCACTCATTGCATATTTACAGTAAATTTAGTACTAGCCTCCTTCCCCACCCTTTTAAGGCATACCTGTCACTTGAATTGCCTCCCTCAAAAATATAACAGGTCATGCAGTATCATGGTTAGCGTGGGTGACTGTATTAAAGTTAAAACAAGTGATTGGCACGTGCATAGTGGAGAGCTAGACTAGTAAGCCACTTTACATGGACACATACTGGAACATCTTAGACAGGCCAAGTATCTGGGTGTAACACTATCATCTGACCTTAAATGGGATTCACATATAAATACTATCTGCCCAAAAGCAAATTCTACGCTAGGCTTTTTAAGACGAAATCTTAAAATTGGCTCATTATCAGCCAAAGTACAGGCATACACATCATTAGTTTGACCATCACTTGAGTATGCCTGTACAGTATGGGACCCTCACACCCAAACAAATATTGACAAGTTGGAAATGGTCCAGCGAAGGGCAGCGCGCTATGTGCTCAATAAGCACAGGTACAACCATCGTGCCTCCAGTGTGTCAGAAATGTTGGACCACCTAAAGCTGCGCCCTCTAGCAGATAGACGTAGAGATGCTCGTCTGACCATGCTTAATAACATTGTAAACCAGAAAGTCACTATCGTAAAATCAGACAGATTAATCCCTACAGTTAGAAAATCCCGAATAAACCACCAGTTTTCGTATCAAATTGCCCACTCAAAAACCCAGACCAGAAAGGCATCTTTCTTCCCTCGAACTATACCCGAGGGGAATAAACTCCCACCTGACATTATTTTGAGCCCCACTACAGAATTATTCAAATCAGCCCTCTACCGTCACCTTTCAAACGCAAATTAGACCATCTCGTATCTTTTAAAAACAATCTCTTTCCATGTTTCACTCCTCGTCTGACATTTTATCTTCAATTTGTTGAAGTTGGTCAGTACCATTTAGAAGTAGAAGTAGAAGGTCCTGTGTTCTATCACTAGCGGAGGCATTACATTTATTTACGTCTCACGTTTGGTCACACGTAGAGACATAGGAAATATTGACAAATATACTCAGCAATACTTGACCAAGAATCGCTATGACCCCAGGAAAACTTGGGAGGAGTTCTTCCCTGGAGGGAAAGTATATATCACCCTGGTAAAATACTATAGCTGCATCATGTAGTGTGTAAGACTATTAACCGAAGGATTTGAGCCCTAGCAGAGGCATTAAAACAAAACCCACAGACTTAGTAGTCTTACTGTTCCACTCAACCGAATGAGCTAAAGAGAGATTCTCTCTTCCAGGGGCTTATACAAGCGATTCCTGTGGAAGTATTGCTGAGTATATAGATTTGTCAATATTTCCTGCATATTATTCCCTATATGGTACTCCTATATAACATAACGGGCGGCGCCTGTCAAAAGTATCTCGCCGTGTAAACCTCTAACACTGTTGAAGTACCCTATATGGGTTCCCAATGTAACAGGGTTAATTAGTTTTTCAGTGCCTATGCTAGGGGTAAAACCTGGGTCCTCTGGTTTACTCTGATCTTGAGCTCTACAGATTAAGCTGAAAGAGAAATTCTTCCTACAGCCTAGTCGGTAGGATACAGCTAGTATTAAAAACACTAAATTTGAGGGTCTAAAATCGGGAGTCTCCCTCCTAAATAGGGAGGGTTGGCAAGTATGCATATCTATATGCCATGTATTATATGCGAATATTAAAGCCATTTTGGTCTCTATGGAGTATAACATATAGATAGATATGCTATTATGCAATAAAGTATTACTTCCCTTGCTTATATCACACCTGGGCAGCTGTTGATCTCAGCGCATTTCAGATCTACTTTTTGCTTATCCCAAAGTTTCCGTTATTTCGCCCCACACAGGTAGTGTTTTTATTTGTATTTTTACTTATTTTTTATTATTATTTCTTTTGTAAGTAATAGTATAACTAGTTTATCTAAATCCTAAACAAATGGTACTCTTTGCCTTAAGACTATAATTAATATATTTATATTGCTGTGATATCGTTATGGCGGGTACGTATATGGCGGATGTCGTTATAGCGAACTATTATGTGACGCCATAGTTTATGACGTCAATACTTCAAATAAAGTCTGAAAATCCCCTAGAAGAGATAAAAGTACTATAAAGACTCGTTGTTAAGAATTTTTCTTTATACAATATTTATTCGTCCGTAAGGATCATTTTTCTGATTTATAATATATATATATATATATATTATAAAAATATTATCTTAAAAGCAAACATTATCCCGCTGAAGTGGTACTAAACGCCATACAAAGAGCTAAAGAGAAAGGCCCTGTCAGTGTTAATTTAGAAAGAGCTAACACCAAAGATGCTGATATCATACCATTTGTTACTACTTACAATCCAAATAATTGTTATATGTTTCCTGTCGTTAAACATTTTGTAAATTTTATGAAAAACAGTGAGAACATGAAGTGTATTTTTGATAAGAAGAAGATTATAAACTGTAAAAGACAACCTAAAAACTTGAAATGTTTACTATGTACATCTAAATTTGATATGAATACCACAAATGTTGTCACTGGTGTAAAAAAATGTAAGAAACCAAGGTGTGGTACATGTAAGATTATCATTGAATGTAAAGACTACGTTTTTGCAAATGGTTCCAAAATAGAAATTAGATCAGACATTAACTGTAATTCTAAGAATGTTATTTACTCTTTAATATGTAAACAATGTGGTGAATTTGATATCGGACAGACCGGATGTGAATTGAGAATACGAATGAATGTACGTAGACAACAAATGAAGGACAATGAACTAAGATTTTTAAAAGTTAGCAAACATATGCATCAATGTTCTAAAGATGATTTTCATGTGTTACCTATTTACAAACTGAATAGCGACGATGTAGTTGCAAGAGAAATTAAAGAAAATATGTTTATAAAAGTCCTCAAACCCAGCTTGAATGCACAATGATTTTTGCAATGTATTGTATGTAGATGTTTTCTTTGTCTTTGTATTGTTTGTGACGTCACTATGCTTGTTTATTTATGACGTCACTAAAATTGTTGACTATACAAATATTGATGACGTCATGTAACTAACGGTGATAAATAAACATCAATCCGCCTGAAGAAGCCCTAGAAGGCAGAAAGGCCTAGCGGACGATCTGAAAAAATTATGTTTTTATTTTATATATATATATATATATATTATAAGGTTTGTATTGAAGTGGCATCACATTTAAATTAAGTGGCATCACATTTGAAAAATGATCATATGAATTATTTCAGTAACAAAAATAATTAAAGCAAACTTTGCAGTAGGATATTGGTACTCTTGATAATAGACCCTGGCTGTGCCCAGTTCCACAAGTATAAACTCAAGAGTAAACTAGGCTCACCTTAAGAAATGCACTTTAAAGACATCATGTTTGATCACTGTAGAATTTAAGTATAAATATTAAAATTCATATCAATTTTTACAATAATTTCAGGGAACAGTTTTTTTTCAGGTTTTAGACTGAGTTTTGTTATATATGTTCTAAATCACAGCAACTGGTTCTGCATCTGTTTGTTTGATGTCAGAATATCCAAACAGGAGATTTATTGTGATTGTAAGATATCACCACTGTTTTCTTTTTTTTCCCACTGGCACATTAAATCTGTTCTGCACAGTGTCGTCTTATTCTTAATGGCTGTGTTTCAATGATTTCCAACGATCATTGAGATTCAAAACCTAAATAACAGTGAAGGACCCAACAGTTCAGTTCATACTTTTACCTACATTAAAGTTTGTTTCTTTGACATTGTACTATCAATAATTTGTGCCTGCTGTTAAGAACATATGATAATTTACCATTATAGTAAGTCATTTTGATGTTGTTTCCCCCATCCTATCCTGTAACATTTGTGTATACTGCCTCACCCTATAAGTCATAGATCCTTTCTTGCCTACCTGAATATATATATATATGTTTATATAAAACCACCTCATCCTATCAGCTTTAATCATCCAGTCCTTTCCTATGAATCCGAATGTTATTTTATTTTCTAGTCAATTTGGGGGCAATAATAAGACCTCTTGTCTGTGATTTTTTTTTATATGTTATAAGTCTATTTTTTTTAATGAAAGTTTTATTGTATACGGGGAATTTTTGATCAAAGTTCACCTTTTTTGCTTTCCGTAGTGAGGGCGAAACTATCATTACAACGAATATATACAAATGTTAAGGGCAAAATTAATACTGGGTGGAAATTCATTTCATGGGTGAAGAGCGCAAGTTTGATTGGGCAAAACTTTAATTTATACAATGTGTTATTTACCCGTCAGGTAATGACTTTTGTGTGATATTTTCCATAATTCTTAATGCACAGGCCTCAGTGAAACAGCAGTAAAAAATCACTACAAATTATCATATGGTTCAACAGCTGTAATCCGTTCCTCCTCATACTATTTATCCAATCTAGCCATGTGTTTACCTGGCTCTCAGATGACCCTAATTTCCCATGTTTTGTTCTATAAGTCTGCTTATTGGGGTTTAATATGCTGATACCCAACTCATCATTATTGATATGTACCTGGTATGCTGGAATAAGTATAGAAATGGAATGTTGACTTTCTCATTGATCAAACAAACCGCAAAAAGACCAGGAAGAATAGATCGACTTTAAGTCTGTACCAGATAATTAATAAGATATTACTGTTACAGAA